TCTTAACTGTAGCCCACATGTATGGTGGAGATAAAAGGCACAGTCTTTAAGGTACATGATGTACCTGCCTTGATGAAGCTAAGCAGATCAAGATCTGGTCAGTGCATATATTGAAGACTAAGTTGGAAGTCCTGCCATGAGTTTATCATAGGAGAGAGGTGGGGTTATTGTTGTTGTTTTTAAAAATTATATCATAATTATTAGTATCTGGACAAGTGTAACAGCTCTCCTCCTGAGAAAACAAAGTTATCTTCCTTCAAGATTCTTCTTGACCTCTCTACTTGGTTAAACAAAGTGTCTTGTTAGGCAAGATCTTTCATTTCCTTGCAGAAGTGGGGTTCACACAGACCTTACTAAGTCTGCAGTTTAACTCTACAGGTTGTACCAATTAATTAACTACAAGTAAAAAGTAAAATCAAAAGGAATCCTGACTGTAAGTGTTGCATTTTTTAAGGAAATGCCTGAAAATTTGAAACAGGTGGATGCAGAAACACTGTAACAAAATGTGTTTGAAGGAAAGTCTAAAAAGTGCTCTTTCTTATGAATTTGCAGTAACAGCAAAGCCAGTTAAAGCCAGTGCATGCAAGCCTAAATAGGAAGCACTGGTGAACCTTTTGTTCTCTTGATATAAGGACCAAGTATACTTAACTGAACCAACTGTAGTGTAACTGACCAGTTTGTGTGTAGAGCACACTGTGTCTGGCTGCTTGATCAGCTTTTAAACTCTAAATTTCTCGGTATACAAAAAACTGTATTTCTCAGATACAGTAAGGATGAAATCCATATAGACCAGGGTGGGCAAAAGGCAGGCTCTTGGGTTTGTGTCCCCCTAAAACTAATGACTTTTAAAACCCTTCAACTGCTCCAGAGGATTCATGAGGACATCTTGTCTCATTTCTGGCCCCTGAGAATTGAAAAAAAAATCCTCTGTACCTAAAATAGGGGCAACTTACAAGTTCAGAGAAGAGCAGAAAGGATACTAGGTCTGGAGAACAAAACGTATGAGGAAAGGTTGAAGGAGTGGGCATGTTCAGAGAAGATTGGGAGTCTGTGACATAACTGTACTCTACATACCTCAAGAGGAGGGAGGCAGAAGTGTTCTCTGCTGCCCCAAAGGGTAGGATCAGGTCCACTGGTTTTATGTTTCAGGAGACTAGATTTTGATTGAACATTAAAAGGAACATCTGGACAGTAAGAATGGTTCAGCAATGGAACCAATTTGCTAGTTAGAAGGAACATCTGGACAGTAAGAATGGTTCAGCAATGGAACCAATTTGCTAGAGAGGTGGCGGGGTTTCTTAATCTGGATGTTTTCACAAAGAAGCTAGACAGTTACCTGCTGAAGATGGTTTACCTGGACATCCTGCATTGAGCAGGGAATTAGAATCAGTGGCCCGTGAGGTACCTTCCAACTCTATGATTCTCCCCACACACCTGAGATCAGTGTTACTCAAATTGGTGGTTACTGGACTGCTGCTGGTCCCTGGCAAATTTCATAAAAGAAACAAATGCTTGTACCCAATGGGTACAAATATAGTGCCTGGCACTTTGGAATAAAAATTGCCAGCCCCTATCATCAGATAGCCTGGAAAGCACTGCCCGGGGGTCCAAAGTTTAGAGGGGATGTCTCTGAGGTACCTGAAAGTTGCCCTGGGCCTTTGGAAGTTGATAGAAAGATGGGTTACAGTTTTCCTGTTGGGCATACTTAATGGAGAGCATGGTTTGGTTTTCAGTGTAATGTGAAATGATCTCCTTATAGTACCTTCTTAAAAGGGTGGCTTGATAAAAGTTGTCTTCTTCTACAACACAGTGCCACCAAATCCTGTTCCCAGGCAAAATGCTGTGTCACCTGCCAAACCTGCTGAAGGCTCATTTGAAAATCCTTTTAAGATGGATCCTTTTGCTGCTCCCTCACAAAATTCAGTAAGTATTTGAGTAAGCATTGCTTTTGCACACTCTGTAATGCTGCCAATAAGCCATATGTCAAAGATTTTTCTCAAGTTGGGGGTCTTTGTGCCCCAACTCTGAAATTCAGTTTCTGTGAAAGCATATTGCTTAAGGCCAGTGCTTGGATATCTGTAAATTATTATAAGGCTCGCGTTTTCCTTATACAGACTTGTCCTCTGAGAGTATTGATAGTTCGTTCAAATGCAGCTAAATTGTGGGGATATAAATCAAAGGGTGTGAATGCTAACTGTTTCGACTATATCAGAGAAGGCTCCACACCCCCTTTCTAAAGGTGTAGTTGTAGAGCTGTAAATAATAGTAACAGTGCAACAGTTCCTGGAAATTTAGTCACCCACTGTCAATCTGTACTTACTGACATCATCCCTTCATGGATGACAGCAAAATGTCTCCTTGCTCAGGATTGTCCAAAAAGCAGGTTGAGTCACTCAAATTGCTCAACGTAAGATAGTCCCATCTCTGAGCCTGTAATTTAAAAGAAGCACATGTCCAAAAAGTGTAACACTGACAATCCATGTAACCACACTGATGCTTATCCAAATGAGTTAGCAAGGGATGCATGCCTGAGTAGCAGTCACTGGTAGGACCAAGCCACCATAGCAGAGGATGCCACCTCAAGGGACATTACTGCATGAGCCCTGCATAATCAGATGCATCAATGAAAGCAGAATTGTACCTGTTAGTATAATAGCCATTATCATATGTCTTCACAGCCACATGACTGGGGCTGCTGCTACTGTTGCACTCTATTCCTGACTCCTTGTTAACCCATCTCCCTGTCCTATGCCCTAAATAGCATACTGTGGTCTGCAGTCCCCCTCCACTCCTGCTGAGCTGGATTAGATCCCTGGAGACCACCTTTTTATCTAAAATAAAACTTGCTGCCACCACCTGATGAATTATTTTCCCCCACCTTAGCATCACATTAGGACTTTGCTGTGCGGTTTTACAGATACTTTCTCTTGCCAATTTAGGAAAGAACTAGCTGAGTCAAGGCATGTGAAAAGGAGTGCAAAGAGGCAGAGTATTTTAAATAAAAGCTTTATTTTAACTAAAGGCATTCTAGAGCAGAAGGATCTCACTACATGAAGGACCAACTTGTCCTCCAGTCGCAAACAGAAAATGTAAGTTACAGAGTACAATCATTTCAGCCAAACCAGTAAATGAAATCAAAAATCCTAGCACCACTGGTACATGTTCCTAATCTTACTCAGATGGGATTTGTAGTCCTTGTTTCTATATAGCTGGGAGCCTGACTCCATTGTCCAGCTCCACCAACTTCATGATCTGCCTCACAAAAGTCAGAGACCTTCACTGACTGGCAGGCAGGCCGACTGACTGACCGACCGACCCACACAGACAGACCAAAGCCTCATGTTTATTCCAGGCTTTTTAAAGCTTCTCAGAACCCTCTTGAAGGCTGAGGCTTCTCCCCAACTCCCATCTCATTGGACAGTTGCTGCCTCATCAGCTGTGATGTAATCCCTCATTAAAATGTACCTCTCTCAACATTTAGCCTGTGTGGGAATAGCGAGCAGGGACAGGAGGAGAGGAGACTGTGGGACCATGTGACTGCCAGTATCACATCTGCCCCAGAAGTGACATTTCACACCTGGGAACTAGTGCAATCACTGACAGATTTCCCCTGTCAATGAAAAGGGACACCCTAACACCCTTGGGGGACACAGCAGTTATGGGTTGGAAGCAGCATCATGCAATAAGTGTCACCAAAGGCACTATTTTTCTACGTCTGATCAGAATTGAAAAGCCATGTGTAGTAATCTCCAGAAACATTCTTCTGCTTCCCTCTTCCCTACAGACCCTTAACCTTGCAGGGAATGTTATAATACCTATCAAAACTGCTCTTAGAAATGTAATCATTAGGCCATTGCTTGCCTCCCTCCTGCCTGTTAAGAGGTCAGCATGCCAGATACTGCAATTGGTGATGGGAGTTGATACCATATGTCTCTCACAAGATGCATGAAATGCAGCTACTCTGCTTTAGCTGTCAAAATGTCATGATAGTAACATATGCATCTTTCAACTCCATTTCAAAAAAAAAAATCTTCCTTTTTCACACCTCTCAGTCCAACCATGTTGTTTCCATACTGATTTTTAAAATAGTTTTAATAAAATGTTTGCATTTTTCAAATTGAGCACATTGTTTTCATGCATTTGCCCATTGAGGAAAGCATGTTTGCATGTATCTTTGAAATGCAGACATTTTCTATGCACACTTTATGAACATGCGGTTTTATTGGCTGTATTTTTCAAGGATTTTTGAATGAAAAGTATATCCAATCCAAATCCATCTATATGGTGCAGATGACACAAATCTACAGGGGATAAAACTGGTATAGATTCCTCACATATACCTAGGGATGAGTTTGGTTCAGTTCAGATTCTGTAGTCTACAGAATATCTTGTAAACTTGTAGACTTGTCTTGAAGTGTTGATGCATTGCTAATTAGCCTCCATTTGTAACATTTCAACATAAATTTGAAATGAAGGCTGATATCCTCAATAGGCATTTTTGTGGGCATTTCATGGGGGACTTTTAAGGAGAAAATCTAGAAAGTTGAGCCACATAGGATGGTGAATATGGATAGTGGTTGAGTTGTTGCAGTGACCTGCAGTATCTGTGGTGTTTGTGTTTTGTTTTTGTTGTATTGTTTTTGTTTTTGTTTGTTTGTTTTTTGTTGTTGTTTTTATAGAGGAAACCTTCCAGTCTCTTCCCAGATCTAAGATTCTATAATTCTTTGATTCTATGACCTCTCTTCTACTTTTTTAGATTACAGTTCAACAGCCATTGTCTTCTGCTCCATTTGGTGACCCTTTTGGAAATCCATTTGCATAGACTTAATAGGTAAGTGGCTTTTTATATGGCAGTAGTCCATCATGATTTTATTCATTTTAACCGTGAGATTTCACTGTCATATAGACTAATCTTAGCATTTGTATTCAGCCAGTGTTGAGAAGTCAGTAGTTTAACATTTTTGAGCCTAAATTAAGAATGCATAAAGTTCACTCTGAGAGCCAGTGTGGTATAGTGGTTTGAGCCTTGACTACAGCTCTGGAGACCAGGGTTGGATTTCCTGCTCAGCCATGGAAACCCACTGGGTGACCTTAGGTAAGTCACACACACTCAGCCCCAGAAAACCTTGTGATAGGTTGACCTTAGGGCCACCATGAATTGAAAACACCTTAAAGGTACAATAACAGAGTTCACTGTGCTGACCACATGCAGCTGTGAACCCCCATCTATATGTAATTTTCTTTTTTAAAAAAACAAATGACACCCACACCCAAGTTTACTAGGAGACATGGGCTGGCATCCCATTAGTGAAATATTGTTGTTACTGTTTTGTGCCTTCAAGTCAATTCCAACTTAGATTCTCCTAAAGATCATCATGTCACAGGGTGTCCTGGCAAGATTTGTTCAGAGGGGATTCACCATTGTTTTCCTCTAAGGCAGAGAGAATGTGACTTGCCTAAGAGCACCCAGTGGATTTCCTTGGCTGAGTGGGGATTCTAACTCAGCTCTCCCAGAATCCTAAGCCAGTGCTCAAACCACTACACCACACTGGCTCTCAAGTCAGTGGGATACATTATGCTTATGTATGTCTTTTTTTTTGGTTGTTGTGGTGGTTAGTATTTCATTCCTTTTTACACAATGGTCAATCCACCCTCCTTGGAATCCATTCCATTCCTGATAGAAAGTGGAAGGGGGAATAGGAGAAGCATTTGTCTATGTCCCCACATCACTTGTATATGTCCATGAAGGATGTCTGTAGACCTCAGCAGATGACAATAATTTTTGAGAACTTCTGGAGAACAGGAGTAGTCCCAGCAGACTGGAGGAGGGCAAACATTGTCCCCATCTTCAAAAAGGGAAAAAAAGACAATCCCAACAATTATTGTCCAGTTAGTCTGACATCAATACCAGGGAAGATTCTAGAGCAGATTATTAAACAGAGTCTGTGAACATTTAGAAAGCAATGCCATTATCACAGATATTCAACATGGGTTTCTGAGAAACAAGTCAATGCCAGACTAAACTGATCTCCTTTTTTGATAAAATTACCAGCTTGGTAGAGAAAGGGAATGCTGTGGATATAGCATATATTGATTTCAGTAAGGCCTTTTGACAAGGTTCCCCATGACATTCTTGCAAACAAGCTAGTAAAATGTAGGCTAGACAAGGAACTGTAATGTGGATTTGTAATTGATCGGCCAGCCGAACTCAAAGGGTGCTCAGCAATGGT